CAAAACAATCTTATGGAAATGTTTGAATCAAGGTTTGTATCATGCTTTAAAAGCTGTAACAGGCAACATGTTCATAAATGGCTTTTACTTAGCACTTAATGCCACAATAGAATTTTTAACATTTGTAACAAAAGTTACTCAACAATCCAACAGATCTTCAACTGTTGGATCTACATTTACAGATGATGTTGTCAGGAGGTTCTGTAGAGAAAACTATCGTGTTCTAGGTGGATCACCTAAAATATGTCCATTACTAAACTATGATGTATAAATAATATATGTTAATTCAAGGGCTGCCTGAAATCTAAGAATTGGACTGACTAGATACACAACACTCTGTAATATCAATCTGTTTGCAGTAGCCCATTATGTCAAAGATTATACAGTGAAATGAGATAATTCTGAAATAGTGGTACATGAACAACACTCAAAAAAAGAAGCTTGCTCATTTACATCCAACTAATTGATGATAATACAGTCAACCAAGCACAGAACTTGGCAAAACCTGTACATCCCTCTTGAAACTACCAAAATGTTTAGTTGATTAAGGTCCCTTTAGTGATGAGATCTAGTTCCTCAGCAGTAGATTAGTACACTGAGTATAGGATACAATTTAATTTGTAATTATTTTCTAATGGTATATAAACAGTAAAAAGAGAAGTAACTAGTTAGTAATTAGACTTGCATGATTTTATTGATTATTAATCATAACTTGACAAATGACATTTTGTGGCATAAATTTGAAAATAGAATATATCTATTTTACATATTTATCTAAGTTGGTATTTCCCAAAGAGTGTGTTTCGGCTCTAATTTGTAAGTGAGCTTGCTGAGTGGCTCAAAAAATTCCAGTTTTATATGACCACTTCAAAAAAGATTACAATAAAATATGTTAGAATAAATATTTCTGTGTGATTACAAACTGAAAATACAATTGCAAGCTACTTTGTGTACCATTGTCTGCTTTCCAAGTAGTTGTGTGTTGGCTTTTTTTGTCACTATGCCTTTAGTGGCATGCTAAATTTTTTTTTTAGTAATTGTGGAGGTGAGAGAGGAGTTTGGAAATTAGATTCACATTTTGGCAACTTGTAGAGCACTATTTTCAAATTTGTTAATTAAAATGAATACTAAAAACAATAATGAAATAACATTAGAATTGTAGAATCACACAGTGGTGTATTTGTGCAGTGTAACTACTATTAACTAAAATGTTGGATTTTAGTATATTGAATTAAACATATGTTTATATAGAAATCTTGAGAAATTATTTTGAATGAAAGAAATTGAAATCTGGCTGTAACTCGTACTAGTATATGTTTTTATTTTAATTACTCACATTATAGGTTCTTAAGATATTTAAATTGATCAATTTGTTCTAAATTGTTTGAGTGATTGAAGTCTTTAATTGTCATTGATAACTGATAGGTTAAAGAACTGTAACTTATTTGAATATATCACAGAAAATTAACAAAATTGGTATTAGGAAAAGGATATAAGCCCATCACATATATAAGGAATGCTAAAATACAAAGAACTATGTGCAGTTAGCAGTTGTTATAGAAACAAAACAAATGAAATGAGAGAGAAAAAATGGTCACACATTTTTAAATGATAAGGTATTTCAAGTGGACTTAGAAAAAGGATGTTTAAGTTAATTATACTATTGAACACTAAGATAGCATCTTTGTGAAACCATTTTGTTGGTCTCTTGAGAGTAAAACATTAAATCGAATTTAGTTTGAAAAAAAGTGAAGACCTTGTGAATGTTTGAATCACTAAAATGAAACAGTTTTTATATTTAACTTTTACAATTTCAGGTTTTAACTTCTCTTTCAAGAACATTGACATCAGTGTTACAGAAAAAAGTCTTATTGGAAATTATCTTAAAATGTGATAGATCTTTCATAATTGTACTTTGTAATTTGAAAGCCTCATGTATAGTTACTGTTATTGTGAAATTAAAAAAGAAACTTAAAGAATTATTTGCTTACTGAAAAATGACAAGTAGAAGCTATATGCTACGTACTTCTATCAAGCTATGAATGGAATTTGGAGTGATTTGCTTGAAGACATGGTGTATGTGTTGGATATACAAGACTGTTTAGTTTAAGAGATATTATTTGGTGATTTAATATTTAATGATTACTGTATTGGCCCGATTATAAGGTAATGTTTTTTGATTAATAATTAAGCTGTAAAATTCATAGTTGCCTTATAATTGCGGCTGGCCACAGGCCCCTTCCCCCTACTCTAGCTTGTTGCATTCCCGAATGTCCAGATAGCATCCATCTATGCATGCAGATGTTTGCTCAAGGTCATTGCTAATTCTTGCAACTTATTCACCTGCAGGCTGTTCAGTTATAATATTGATTTTATGGACCTAAAAAAGGACGTTATAGCACTCAATTTTTTTATTTATCATGGTTTTTGAAAATGGGGGTCACCTTATATTCGAGATCGCTCTCTAATTGGGCCAATACGGTATTTAGTTTTCATAATAAAAGTGTTAAAAGTTGATTGTTTTAAAAGCAATAGTTATGACAAATTTTGTTCCATAACTGCACAAGTAATATGTTGTGTATATAGTTTAATTGTTGCATTAGGCTTAAAATTTTTCCAGTTATGTGTAATATTGTTGCTACTACAGGGCTAGAGATTTCTAGATTATTCTGTCGTGTGTTATAAATATGTGCAGATACAGAAACCAAAACAGCAAAACTAAATTCACCTCCTCATTCCTATACAACTATACAAACAACACAAATTTTTATCAATTGCATACTGTCAGGTTTATACAGTAGGTGTTGTGACTTTTTGGCAATAAATTTCAACAATAAATGGACAGCAAACAATCCATTTGTTTTAAAATAATATATATTCAAAAGAAGTTAAATGTATGTACAAAAATTTATTTACCACAGTTGAATCTCGAGCTTTAATAAATAATTCTCTTTTTCGTCAAAAGTCCACATAGGCTGGTTCAATTACTTTATAACCCAATTGAAAAGACAAATTATTTATTCTCTCCTCTTTTATCACAATACAATGGTGATAAGTTCACTCCAGAGCTTTAAATAATTGTCTTCTTTTGCCAAAGTGTACACAGGCAGGTTCAATTACTTTAGAACACCCTTTGACCAGACAAATTATTCTTCACATATTACCCCTAAACTAACAATCATGCAGTCTAACTTCATTTTCTTCTGACTTACTTTAACTGGGTGGAAGTGTGATCTCAATGGTGTAAATAGTCTTGATTTTTCTGGTTATTATGTTCTGTATATGTTGTTGATTAATCAAAAATGACATTTATGCCACTGGAAACAATACCCCTTTAACTTACAAAAAAGGGTTGCATGTAATGTGTACATCAGGTAAGCAAAACAATTAGTGTATTAATTCTGTGTTTAACCTTTTAATTATTGTGCAATTTTTAAACTCCTTTATGCACATGTCATGAGCTTTTACTGAATTACATTCAAAATTTAGTTAAACCACTATACTATCAATGTATTTTAATAAAGTTTAAGTATTATCTTGTGCGTTATAGCTCAGTCTTATGTTATCTAAGTTTTTATTTGTTTATTTCAAAAGAAACCTTAAAGAAAAATCTTTAACTTCTGTTTTGTTGTCATGTAACACATGAGCGTTCACAGATCTTAACTTTTTATCTCTATTACTTGAATAATAGCACATCCTCAGCGTATGTGTTTACTGAATTCTACTCCTATAGTGCTATTTACCCATCAAAGTTTCAAGTTTATTTGAGTCAATTTGGAAGAGCACAAGAAATAAATATTCTCTCCCCCAACAGTAACCACACCCACCTTCTATACTTACACTTGAAATTTACAGGCTATGTGTACTTACTTGACGTAACTGTTTATAACCAATAGAATGAGCTAATTTTAAGCTACGTTCTCACAAGGGTTATTTTAAAACTGGTGCTCAGTATTCTTTAAGAAGTGTATCAAACCACTCTTAGCATTGTTACAGTTTTGCCCTTGCTAGCACTTTTCAGTATTTCACACCTTGCTACATATCAGTTTCTTAGACAGTTAAATTGTATTTAGGTTTTGCTTTTACATTTTAGTTATTTGTGTATTATTTATGCTTTAAAATTCATACTTGGAAAGTCTAATAATTTTTTTAATACAACTCAAATTTATTTTTGCTCTGTGAAGCTTAGGTCACTAAGCAAGTGCAAAAACATTTTGCCAAAGGCTAAAATATCTGCTGATGATACAGCTATGTTGCCTGGGGACACCTATTGACATGTATCAAGATGAACAATAAACTGTAAAGGACAGAAAAGGAAAATAATACTTTAAAAATTAACTATAAGTGAAAAGGTGAAGATGTGAGATTATGCATATAACCCAAAGAAGGTATTTTAAGATTATTCGAGTAAGGGTTAAAAGGTATAAACATATTTCTGTTTCTTAATTTTAAACATATCATTGCACTCTACATTAATGATAATAGCTACAGTTAGTGATGTAGAATGTGAAAAATTAAATATATACATTTAACTTAAAAAAACTTTTGGTATTCATTTAGGAGGTTCTAGAGGTTATGCAAATAAAATTTGAAAACTGTAAGATAGAAAAAAGTATTTTTATACTTAACTTGAAAATCACATTGCACTTGAACTATTCAGAGTCTAAGTGCAAATAAGTACAATAAATAATGAATTTTTTGTAGAAATAGTAGAAAAAATCAAAATAAAATATTTTTTGAAACTATGTGCATTTAGGAAAGTTCCTGTCAAATTTCGAGCAGTTTCATCCACTAATTTTATTTTTATAATGAAATATGGCAAGAGTTTGTTACATCGTCCTTGTGTTGTGAGGACCCAGTAACCAAAGGATTAAAAATGTTAATATAATGATTGTTATAAGAATTACAGCTGGAGGCATGGAATTGAATGTTTGCCAGTATTAATATGTTTAATGAGTGCACTTTAATATTAAGGCTCTTTTTTTTTTTGTATATTGTAGAAATGGACCAGATAATTGGGATCGAGCAGATCAAAACCAAAGTCATGACTATGATGGACCAGCTGGTATGGAACCTGATGGAAATATTGAGGTAAGTATTGTTAAAAAATCAAAACACGCAGAACTGAAGACCAGAAATATAAATATTCTGTAATTAGTAACATTTTTTTTTACCAACTTTACAAGATCATTTAGTGGTGAAACTCTCCATTTCTTCATATTCATTTTATTTTTGTTTTGATGTAATCTTTCTAATGGGTTAAAAAACACAGTTAACACGGGATTAACTGCAGGGAATTTGAAGTATAGTGTTTCTTCCATTATGAAAATGCACATTTAGATTGCCTTAGTGACAAACTGATTATTGGAAAATGTATGAACAAGTGCCAGATGTAAAGCAAAAAGTGAAAATTACTATACTTTTTTGAAGAAGAAATACATTTTACCTTGAAATCTGCAATTGCATAAGAGAATGTATTTGAAAGAACAAATCTTGAGTATTTGATAAAATGGAAAGGAATTTTGTCTTAAAAAGAAGTAATACTTTATCATACAAATATTATTACTTGCATCTTCATTAGGGTACAATGTAATACAAAAACTGATAAAAATGGTATATAAATAGGCTTATTTATAACTAGTATTCAATAAATTGCACTGGGTCATCTCAAAACATGTAATATAAGACAACAATCAAACTGCGTTAGAACGAAACTTTTTAACATGTTTTAGATTAGGCTCTGTTGCTTAAAAAGTAAATATAGACATTTTTATGCTATATTTTTAGGTTATAGGAAAACATAGCTTAACTGTATAAACAAATTTGGCTATAGAACAATGAGTAAATACTTATACATTAGTCTCAAAGTATGACACATGAATTGGACAATAAAAATGTGTCTGTAAAATAAACTCCTTTGTTATTGTTATATTTTCATGAATAATAGAATTAATATATAACAAAATATGTGAGACATTACATAATAAAATCTATAAATTGTTTGTTAAATTGTAAAAGATAATAAAGTTAAATTTTTTTATGTTATATTAATTTTTAAAATTTAAGTAAGGGTCCTATTAGTGAGAATAATTTAAAGTGGCTGACCTGTATTTCTATTTGCCGTTGAGTTTAAGGATTGAATAAAATATGCTTCTTTAAATTTTCTGTCATTGTAAGATCTTGTGTTTGTGAGGAATTTGATTTTTAAAATAGGGTTATTCGTATTATTGATGTGGCTTTTGCCAAAGTGTTCTGCAACATCATTTATATGTATTTATGAGTTATTAATATGTCAAATAATTTACTTTGATTAACACTCTGCACTTAAAAAAATCAAGTGAATATCTTGTTTCTACATATTTTGTACATTGGATTATTTTTTTCAAATCCCCCTTCTTCAAAGTACAGGGTGGTCCAAAATTATCTTTTCCATTTTAAAAGTTAATAATTAACTATCTAAGGAAATACAACCATGCAGGGGGAAAAATATGATGGTGGGGAATAATGAATTAAAATCGACCAGGTGGAAAATATTGTTCTTCTTTAAAATACTTGACTCCATAAGTTTACAATGATATATTTTTTATTATTGGTTATGATATTTAAATGTAATCTTTATTAATTTGCATACACTGATGAAGAAGGCTGCTTGATCATTGAATTGGTGCTCCTTTTGTCAAAAATTTGTTTAGCATTTTCAAAAGTTTGATTTTCTGGCTTATTTTGAAGAATCGGCCATGCACCAGAAGCCTTTGTTTTAAGAACTCTGACAGCTATAGCAATAGAATTCTCTTTACTGAAATGGGCACATTGAGTCCCTGTATATCTTAAATGTGCTATCGTAGATCCAACAGCTGAGGAACTGATGACAGGTTTAGGTTTTCTTTTTACAAAACTTTGCTAACATTACATACTGCACATGAAGCCTTATCCAACACTCTTATGGTAACAAGAAAACTAGATTTCTCCATTTCAAGCAAGATACCTTCTGCTAATTATAATAAATCTCTTTTGGGGATGTGGGCTTCCTTGGAAGCTCTCATACCCTTGGGTTGAGCTCTTGTGTTCCCTTCAGTGGACATTTCTTGACCAGTGGAACTTCTCCCATGAACCATCCTATTACACTTCCCCTTGTGATCAGGGCCAACCTTGCTGGGTGGTTCAAAAGGGAACTGACCACAGTAGGGGTTATTATTCCTCCACCTTGTCCAGAGTTTCATCTGTTTATTGATGCTTCCTTGGTGGATTGAGGGCTTTCCTCAATTCCCAAGAGATTACCAGTCAATGGTTGATCAAGGAGGTTACTTTCCATTTTCAACATCCTGGAACTTTTGGCATTTTGTTGGGCTCTGTATCATTTCCTCCAATTTCTGAGGGGTGAGTGGTTATGGTTCATTCCAGTTAATCCACTGTCATCAGTTATATCACCAAGCAAGGGGGAGTCAGATCCAGATTTCTGTGATTTCAGACTCTGGATATTTACTGGGCCCATGACCACTACATGATGCTCTTGGTGTGTTACGTTCCTGGCATTATGAATATGGTGGCTGATCACTTATCTCGACCCAATCAGTTTCTCCCCAGAGAGTGGTCTCTTCTATGGGTATTTTGGTGGGTGTGCTCTCAACTGGGAACACCACATATATAGGTGTTTGCCAATCACTGGAATGCCAAAATTCCTACATTTTGGTCTTTGGTTCTACACCCTTCAGCTCTGGAAGTAGATGCATTCAGTCAGGATTGGAGGGGTCTTCCCTCATATGCCTATCCTCCAATCAGACTCTTCTCCAGAGTCTTTTCCCTTATCCAGACTACTCTTTGTCATGTCCTGCTCATTGTTCCATATTAGTCTGCTTAGATGTGGTTCCCTCTGCCCTGGCCCTTACTAGAGTGACATCCCCTGCCCCAGTCTCACCTCCAACAACTGCAATTGGATTTAGTTCATTCTGGTGGTTCCCTCTGCCCTGGCTAGAGTGACATCCCCTGCCCCAGTCTCTCCTCCAACAACTGCAATTGGATTTAGTTCATTCTGGTGTCATCAAACTCCATCTTCATGAGTGGATTTTTATCTGGTCCCTTGTCTCAGCTCAGGGACTTACCCCCTCATGTTGCTTCTTTCCTTTCCCATTCCATTCGACCTTTCTCCTTGTCTGTGTACCAGAGGCAGTGGTCTACCTTCAGACCTTGGTCCGTTTGCTGTGGCTTCTGCTCCTTCCCATCCTTGGATGTTTCCTGCATCCCTTCCTCTTATGTTATTCTCTATCCTGATCGAGCTTTCCTTCCCTAGATATCTGCTGCTTGGGTAGGTGGTTTGGCATTCTCTCCTATTTCCTTACCTTCCATTTCCCACATGTACTCCCGTTCAATTCTGGATAGACTTCTTTGTCTGGTTTATTCCCTGAGATGTTATGTGGCTCTTACTGCCTCCTTTCATGTTATCATTCCTGTCTATTTGTTCCAAGATTTCCTCTGTGTCTCGTGATCTGTCCCCTATTGCACTCACTGGTTGGATTTGTCAACTCATACGACTGGTGTATTCCGACTTGTCCATGGAAGGTCGCCATCTGCACAGTGTTTTTTACACCCAATTCTTTATCTAACTGTGCATTTAACTGCTCATCTTTGCCGGCCTTTGGAGGAGATCATTCAGGCTGTGATATGGACAACTCTCAATACATTCATTGCACATTATCTGCACGACCTGACTGTGTCTTCCTCGGGCAGGTATTGTCTTCCCCCTATGGTGATTCTACACGTTTGTCTTTGCCTGGGATAAGTCGACATATTACTTTCCTATATATTTTTAGTTGATACATATCATATTTCAGGATCCCACCTAGTGGTGGGTGTTGTCTGGTCAGGTATGTTTCTTATTATATTTGTACTAGATATGAATAATTCTATAATGCTCACTGTTGAGATGGAGTGTTTCTGTAAGACCGCTGGCAGCCTGTCTGGTGGTACATGCTTCTATATTGTTTTTTGTTTTGTTTTTCACAAAAAGTTATTAGTTTCATTTATAAAGGACTGTCACTCATGAAACACCATGAGTAGAGCAGATGGGGGTTTCTGCCCATCCCTACTGACCCATGATTCCTACAATAGGGGTCTATCTGTTTTTCAAAATCGGGAATCACAGGCATCCATTGCAATGTCTCTGATGTGTTATTCCTCTGTACTCCTAATGTGTAATCCCCCCCCTCTCTCTTATTATGGAACACAGGAGTCTTTACCACTTCTGTTTCCAAGTCACTGGAGTGGTGGACTGTGGAGGTTTCCTCCCGAGTGGGTTTTGAACAACAAAATAAAGCTTTTTGGCCCATGTGTACCCACTTGGCAAGAAGAGGACTATAGTTGTTATAATCATTATAGTACTAAACAGTGAATTATACAATAATATTCAGTATCCAAGGTGCTTTCCCCAAATATTTTTTGCCCAGGGAGACTACACTTGTTGATCATATTTCTTAGGCAAGGCACTTCCACTGGATGTTTTTTGCCTAGATGGATCACACTTGGCATAATATGACGTAACCTAAGGTGCTTCCCCTGGATGTTTTTTGCCTAGGCAGATCAAAGTTGGCATAATCCTAAGTATCCAAGGTGCTTCCTTCTGGGTATTGCCCAGGCAGACCTCATTTGTTGTTGATATCTATATCTTATGCAAGTAGTTGCCACTGGATGTTTTTGTCCACATGGACTGCACTTGGTATAATCTGACATACTCCATGGTGATTCCCCTGGATGGATCACACGTGTTGATCTCAAATTTTTATGCAAGCACTTCTACTGGATGTTTTTGCCTGGGTGGATCACACGTGTTAATCTCAAATTTTTATGCAAGCACTTCCACTGGATGTTTTTGCCCAGATGGATCATATTGTCATAATCCAACATATCCCAAGGCATTCCCTCTGGAGGTTTTTTGCCCTGGCAGACTGCACATTTCAGATTCAAATACATCTTATGGTCCTTAAGCTCTAGCCAGTTATTGTTATTTTGTTTTTCTCTAGCTCATTTACTGACACCATACCATGACTCACCATCATTATGTTCGGTACTACATCTTGTTTTTCATCATGGCTCATTCTGATTAATCTACAAAAAATTCAAAACTCTGATGAAGCAATACAGTTTTGTATGCACTTTTGGGCTGTTGGAAACAAAAATGCAGACATTTTAAAAACATCATGGAAAAATAATTAACAGAATAACACCCATCTGCAAAAATGTATGCTATAAAAAATATAATGTTTGAAAATTTCCTAGTGTTCAGAATTAAAATTGACTTGGATAAACTTCTCATTAGAGGTATTTGTGAATGGTGTTATGATAGGGTTGGAAATAAAACTCAAACATAAGTGTAAGATCTGAAAGTCTAGATCCAAACTTGTTCTTTAAAAGTACAGCTAGTCCTTATTGTTCATCATTTTGTAAATTCATCATTTCTCTACCTTAACTTTATTATAGTTTTTATAAGTTTGGTCACTTTGACTGACCTCGTCAATTTCTTTCCTGCGGGAAACCTGCTTGGACTGAAGGTGAAATTGACAGTTATGTAGGGAGAACAACATAATATAATACACCATTTGATAGAGTAAAACCTTGGCTTTCTATTGGATGTAAATAATATATTACTAAAAATAAGATAAAATTATTGTTGGTCATCATAACTATCCCTCTGTCCACATCCACATCAGAATGAGCCAAAGGTTTTAGGCATTTTTCAATGATTATAAGGACAGTGTTCCTTTTGGATAAGGAATAATTTCATAAAAATTCCCTTCCTGAAAGGATATAGTTGAAACTGTGTTGCAGATATCTGTTCACTCACTGAGACTATTGGTATCGTAAATTAAGGGAACATTTTCTATGGGTTTAGCATTCATATTGTGTTGTTATTTTGAGCAAGCTGGTCAGGTAGCTATTGAATTCATTGACATAAATAATGAACATCAATGGCTTAAAAATATACACCTTTTGGACCACACTAGCTACATCTTCACAGTTGTAGAAATGGCCATTTAAAGCCTTTATATGCTTTCTAATGGCAAGATAATTTTCCATCAAATTTTGAACTTACTGATTAAAAGTTTTGGAGCCATCTTAATTAAGACTTTCTGAAAGTTAAGACATGCATCATTTTTAACATGCATACATACATAAGCTATGTGGTTGGCAATGAAAGAAAGAAAGCTTTTTGATTTTGATTTCTTATTAAATGCTATTTAAAAATAGAAATATTGCCATCTGTGTGGTGAAAAAATATTTTACTTGTTTGAAAAATAAAATTTTATAATTCAAAGAAAAGGAACTTTAAGCATAAATTTGTAAATCCAAAATTATGTGTTTAACTGACAGCATGAACCTTTTTATTTTCAAAAAAGGTTAAAGTTGCTTATAATGTAAAAAGTTTAAAAAACATTAAGAATTACTCTTGCAATTTAATCCTATGTAACTGTCATGATATAAAAACTGTTTAGTTTAGATGTTATTTATTTATTTATTTATTTTTGTGAGTGAATATTTTATTATTGTTTAGTTTTTGTTATAATAAGAGTTAAGGGCAGACGATTGTGGAAGGTTTTGTTAATCATTCATTGATGTTGAGACTATTGAATGTCACGTGCAATACATTGACGTCGAGAATATAGAAGGCAGACAGACAATTAAGTGATAAAGATATAAATAGCATGAGATGAACAGAAACAGCAGACAGATAATAGCAGAAGAAAGTAAAGTTACAAAAGGAAAGGTTCGGCGTGGAAGTGATAGGACTAATGTTTAATATGTTAGAGTAAGACTAACAGTAGAAAAGGAGATAAGAATAATAATTTATTCCATCAAAGCATGGTTCTAAAGTAATTGAATCAGCCTGAGTGCACTTTAACAAAAGGAGCAGATGATCTTCAAAAGAAAGAAGACCAAACAATTACGGTAACTCATGCCACAATTGTAAGTGAATCACGCACAGAATACTAGTGCAATGGTAATAGAGAAGATAGTTTGTCCTGTTAACTGAAATTCTAAAGTAATTGAATAGGCCTAAGTGGACTTTTGAAAAAGGAGAGAACTACATATATAGTATTTATGAAATGTCTAAAATATCTATAGTGTTGAAGAATTTATTGTACATACATTTAACTTGTTCTGAATATATATATATATATATATATTATTTTGAAAACAAGTGAAGTGCATGAAGTTTATTTGTCTTTGAATTTATCACTAACAAGTCACAGACACTTACTGTAGAAGAATCTTAAGCCCAACAACAACATAGTATATATTTATACTATTAAGAAATATAGCTGAAAGCCATTTTATTTTGACAATTGGCGAAAAGAACATACATTTTAAATTCCGAGAATAAATAATGATTATTCTTGTGATATTTCATGGACGGGCATTACTTAAATCATAAGTAGGGCACAACCAAGGTGTAGTTAACTGAATAAGAAAAAACACTTTTTTTTAAAAATTTATATATATATATATATATATTTTACATGTTCTGTTACAGAGTAACTGGGATGAAGTTGTCGACAATTTCGATGACATGAATCTGCGTGAAGAGCTTTTGAGAGGTATATATGCATATGGTTTTGAGAAACCATCAGCTATTCAACAGAGGGCTATTATCCCTTGTATCAAAGGTGTGTTCATTTATGTTTTTATGATAGTTTTTTGTGTTTTCCATTATGATAATAGAAAAATATATACACTCCACAAATATGTTATAGTTGCAATAAATTTAATTTGTGAAATATTTTGAAGATGTGGAGCACAGTGTGCTTATCAGAATAAATTTATCAGCTTAATTAACTCTGCGGACAGGGAGGGTCAGAATTGCATTCATTATTTAATTAAGCTACTGTATTATCAATATACGTTAATAAACTTGGAATCAAAATGTAAGTTGTAATTGAAATTTTCATGTTATCTTAGTTTTAATTTCTTAATTTCAAAAGGAAAATTTAAATATGTTCTCAATCTGCATCTCTAAGTTACATAACATAGTGGCATTCTGTCTTTTCCTTTATATGTATTTTTCTTTTTTTATAACTTTTTCAATTTTTTCAACCAATTGGAAGAAAATAATTCAGATATTTAAAAGCCAAAATATAAAATTTCTACCTCTTATTGCTTTACCGAGATATCTATATTTGTTCAACCCACATTGACATGTCCTTACCATATGAGAAATCTATAATTCTCTCTAGCATTGCTATTGGACACGTAGAAAGTGCATATTCCAAAACAATCCATTTACTTTTCTGCACACAATAGGTATTTCTTGCATGCCTGCCATTGAGATTTTCTGCACATCATTAGCCTTGAACTATCTCCCACTTAAACCACATTTTAACATGAACAGAGCTAGGACATGATGTAATAATCATGCAGTAATAGCCCTGACTGTTGTTCTTTTAGTGCATGCCCATCCTTCGTTTTTAACTTTTGTGAGATTTATAATTTCATTTCTCACTTTTTTTTCATTTCTAAACAGTCTTATGCTACAAGCTGTATTAGGATTATTTTCCACATTGTTTACCAACCCTTCCACCTCCCATTTCTGTGTCTTCATCCTCCTGAGGTACTAGCTCTGTTCACGAAGTCAAAATTTCATCTGGAATGAAATTAGTTCAATGTCTTTTACTGTGGTTATTTGCAAAACCCAAGAAACTGTACAACATAATGTCTTGGATCTCCATGCAGCTTCTACCATGCTTATGGGTGCTGGAGGTTCTTTGTCTGTGGAAAATGTTACCACCAACTTTCACAGGTACTGGACTTCACCTTCCTTCCCAGTTCCTCTATCTACTGTGTGTTCTATATTCCTGAGCCCCGACCATGAATTTGACATTTTTGTCCAGCTCTTTCCAATCTCTGGTTTTGATTGCGCCTCATTGTTCACTGTTGAGGGACTTAAGTATCTTTGCTGAGATGTTCTTGCCTCAGCATCATTCCTACTCTTCCCTATCTTATTCTCCTCATTTCCATGATTTTTTTAACATGGCATATGGTAGCTCCCATTTTGTCTTCTTGGATAATCAATTCCTGGAATTTCTTCTGCCTGCTTGGGTGTGGACCCTATGTCTCCTGTACTCCTTACTAGGGCTCACTTCTCTATCTTCACCTTCTTCTTGCTTTATCCCTTCACTATCTGTTTTCTTCTTATTTCATATCTGAGGCCCTTCACCAGGGACTAGATAATGGCTGGAGACGGCTTGAATGGGTAATGAAGAAAAACTTTAATATAAGTTTAACATAACAGCAAATGTACAACGTTTCGACAAAGTTTTG